TGCAATCTGGACTTATTACGCCACTTAAGGCTTAAACATAACACACGGAAAAGTCTGGGAAATCGAAGTTGAGATACCCTGGAGGAAGGATGCCTGAGAAGGATCCTGAAACGAAGGTTTCCTTTTAATATTTATAATCAAAGGTATTGAATACAGGGTTCGATTAATGAGTTTTTAAAGCTTGTGACTCCTCACCTTGTTTGTCTTAACTCTAAACTGAACTATCAAGGCAAATCGTGGCCAAGTTCAGCCGCAAAACTACATGCATAGCACCTCCGGTTAGAGTCCTGTTCCCCAATCCGTAACCGGCACAGTATCCATCACGGCGGCATTCCGCACACACATGCCGCACCCCTTCTTTTGACCTTAAATGTCGTCACATTGTCGCCTCAAAAGGACGAGGGCGGCACTTCTCGCAGCCGGATATAGAGCATCCCTCCAGGATTCCATCGCCCATGTCCTGTTCCTTGTCGTCTCCTCGTCGTTTGTCGTTTGTCGTTTATCAAATGGCCAACGCTGCTGCGCCGCCGGCCGTCGGCTAAGTGACAAGCAAAACCGCGAATTGACCAGAGAAAGTCCCTGGCTCCAACTGCAACTGCTGCTCCATCTACATCACCATCTCTAGTTGCAGTCTGCAGTCGCAGGATGCAAGGACCCAGAGCTGAAAGTGTGCCTGCTGCACACGTTATTAATGCCGGCACACTGTGCACTGCCCAAAAAACAGTGGCAACATATTTAAAGGGAAAGTAATCTTTTCATAGGGCTTTCTCGTTCTTTTTGGCAGTGCACACGCACTCGGAGCAGGACCAAGGACGAGCACAAGATGCGTGACCCGTGTGAGTGTGTTCTGTGGGTTTTTTTGGGGTGTCGACAGAGGGGACTGGGGTTGGACTGGGGTCTCCGGGGGCTTAACACACAGGATTGGGCATTGTTTTGGCCGAAAGTTGACCGAAAACTTGGCATTGTTGGTTGCTCGCTTTTTGGGCTTGGGGACGGACGGCGGACAGAAGGATGGCATTGCAACGGCACGGCACTGCATTCGGACTGCAGTCTGGCAAAGGATGCAGCCTTGTGCTTCTCTCCTTTTCTGTCTTTTTTTTTTTTTTTTTTTTTGGTGATGGAGAACTGCAGTTGGGAGGGCGTGTTACTGCATCAATTTATGGTTGAATTTTGGTGTCCTCTCTCCTTGTAGGACTCTTGATTTCTGTGGGCAACGACTGACTGTGTGTGTGTGTGTGTGTTTCTGGCCTAAGTGCTATGGGCATACCGGAAATAAGTTTGCTGCCCGCAAATTTAGTTGATTTAGGCATTAAAGCGAACAGAGACCGATGTACCCACTTGAGTCCTGGAATCCCCGGATCCTGGGGCTTTGCGGTGCGTTGCGATGCCCACTTTGAGCACTTATAAACAATGTATGACTTCATTTGTTCTTAGTTAGCAAATGTTGTTAATTTCTGGGTTTTGTTTTGCCAGAGATAAATTGATTTCTTTGAGGAGAAGGGAAAATTGGAAGAAGGGAAAGTATATATTTTGTTGGGTTTAAAAATCTATTACAACAACAAAACAACAAACAGCCATTTAAGCTTCTAATAAGCCACAGCTCTGGCCTCTAGCACCTATTAACCAGGACATCTTCCTTTTTTGGTCATCTTAATATAGGAATTCCCGAATGCCACACACTCTACACATTGCTGCTGTGTTGCATACCACAGGCTGGGGGTTCTCGAAACCCAAAGTCCAATTAAAATTTAACTACATCAAAGTAGCAACGGCAGTAGCCCTTACCTATAACATTTAACAAGTTTAGTATTTGGGTTGGCCACTCCGAAAATATTTCCCTGGGAGCCCGGCAGCTGGACATGCCAAACTATGGCTGAAAAAAAAAACGAACAAAAACAAAACAGAAACGTAAATGAAAATGAAAATAAAAAAAAATAAAAAACAAAGGCCCAGAGATGCCGCCGCCCACTCACGCAGGGGTTGCAGATGAAAACTCTCTATGTGTATCCGTGGCATGTCGAAAATTGCGCAGCTTTACGGCAAATGCCGCAAATTGAAACAATTTACATGTTGTACATGTGTTGGCGAATTTCCCGGCGATGCCGGTGAGAGCGGTGAGACCGGGCTCGCCATCAAAGGGTTCAACTTGCGTGTAACGGTCCTTGGGTCCTTGTCTATTGATACCCGGGTCGCCCGGTTTTAACAGCAGCCATGAATTTTGATTTAGCCCCCTCACCCGAAAGTCTGGGTATCTCTAAAACAAAAAATACTCCTAAAATTACACTGCAGAAATAACTATTGTATATATTAGCCCATAAAAAGATCTACAACCATTTAGTATACCATAGTTATGTGTTTATTTTCTTTGATTTTCTCGGTGTATGCCCGGAGAGGTGACAAACCGCGCGTGACTCTCCACTGGATATTGTTGGTGTAATTGTTGGTGTTTGTTGTTGTTGTTTGTTGGGCATCCATGTCCTGCAACTTTTTGGTGACGGCGAGCACGGATTATGGCGCGTTTGTCGAGCACTTGTCGCAGATTTTTTTTCCACTCCTTTGGCCTTTTCTCTGCCCTGTTTGAGCTGGAATTGGTTGGCCAGGTTCTTCTTACTAACTGCTAAATGTCCTGTAATTGGTGTAGGGGAAAATATTATTATTTTTAAAAATTTATGAAGCAAATTATTTTATAATTCAAAGATAATAATCTAATTTTATATTTAATAAAATTTTGTAATAAGAAAAACACTTTGAAGTGAATTACAATTACAATTACAATAGTATTCTAAATTTTGGAATTTATCAAAATGTAACTTAAATGTTTCTTTTAAATTGCAAAGAATGACACCTTCTAATTTCATATTAACTTTTCGGCTTGGCTTTTTTCAAACGTTTTTTAAAACTCACCATTAAAAGCGCCTCTCTCTGCGCTTCTCAAAAACTCCAAGTGCAGGTAATCGGTTAGCCCACTCATGCCGACTGCTCGACTTAATTTGACAGTCCGGTTGGTCTGCTCCTTCTCACCGCTTATCTCACCTACATCCGCGGGGCTTTCCCTCCCCCGCCCTATATCTTTTTCATCTCGAGCTCGGTAATAACCTTTATAAAGTAAATTTACAATAAAAGGCAGGCCGGCAAAATGAAAGGCAAATGACGGCACTGTACAGTACCAACCGTCACGACAGCTATTAACCCATGCCCATGACGGACTTTCCGCCCTTCGGCACAGCACTTTTCCCGCGCATTTTCGCCTCCTCAATTTTCCGGGGTTTTGTGTTGTTGTCTGGACTCGCGGCGACACGTTTGGCTTCCGTTGGATGTTCGCCGCGATTTCCTCTTTGGCATTGTTCCTCCTTTAACCTCCGCCTCCCCGGTCCCATTTGTCGCGATTTTTCCACCATTTCCACGATTTCCCTTTGTGTGTGTGACAGTCAACGGTTATTTTGTGTACCGAATTTTTTCTGTGCCTTTTCTTTTGTTTCTCTGTTTCCTGTTTTTTTTTTGTTCCTTGTTGGCCAAAAGTCAACCCATGAGCTGTGGCATTTTTAAGTAATTTTTATCGGTCAGCAGTGGAAGTGGAGGGTTAAGCGACTCTGCGGGTCGAAAAAAAAAGAAAGCAACTTGAGCTCAGATTTCTGAGCACACTGGAAATTAAGCCCAGGGATCGATATCAAAAATTAAATAGAGGAACTTGCCTGGTTTTTCATTTCATATTTAAGATGATTATATCACTTCATATTTAATTATAAATTTTAAAAGTTAAAATTTCCTTCTGGGGATAAATTTTTTATATATTTCAAAGTTTCTGTTATTATCCTATGCATTTTTCAACTTAATAAAGCAACAATTCTAACGTACCTTTGGCCCCGTGCAATTGTATCCTGCAACACCGACTCCTTTTGGCCCTTGGGCGCCCTGCACGAATGTCGACAAGTGACAAAATATGCAAGTATCAAACCACAAATTCTCACCCGTGAGTCCACAATCATTTTGACACTGGTTACTGTGACGAGTGCAGGGTCCTTCGTCCTTTTCGTTCGCATGCCGCATGCCACTAGATTTGCGTTGGCATTGGGATAGTGTTGCATGGGGTCGATGCTCATCGGCCGGAGAGCGGGTGGAGTGCGATGAAGTCCTTTGCCGGAAATTGAAAAGTGCAACGCAAATTGCGTTCCGCTGGGGATATGAAGGTCCCTGCAAGCCCCTCCCCCCCCTCCTTAACTCCCAGTGCCATCCAATCCTGTGAATCCGAGTCCTGCCAGCCGTCTGAAGCCTTCGCCCCGGCCGGCGAGTGGTTGACAATTGATTTGTGTTTATGGTGGCCATGCCCATGGACATGCCAGCATCCTGAAGCAGACTGCAGAGTGCAGAGTGCAGTCCCAGCCTCTGGCTCCCTCTATTTTTTGGGGAGCGAGGGCTTCACCCATGTAATATGCCATTTTGGGGCCGTGATTTAAAGACATTAACAGGCCTCAACCTCGGCTGGCTATGTGGGGGCAGTTTTATGGTGTCGCAACGGGCGCCAAGTTCAAATTGAAGTCAGTCGGGGGTAGATTGATGACCTAATCGTGGCCCTCAGTCCCAGAAGGATGAGGTTTACTAGGAAATTCTCACTCAATAGAGCCATTTTTGGGTTTAAAAACAGAAAACCATTAGAAAACCCCTCTAATAAGTTAATATAACATAGAATTCTAGTTTATTATTATCTAACATTAATCAAAATTCTTCCATTTCATTTACAGTTGGTATTTACACCGGCGGGATAGTTGATCCTGGGCATACCATACATTGTTTTCCAACGGTTTGATTAAAGGACGACAAAATTGTGCGGCTAAAAAAAGTGCAGGCTCACGCTCAAGGGCAACTGGAGCAGTTCGAGCAGCAGCAGGAGCAGTTGCATCATCCATTGCAGCAGCAGCAGCAGCAGCAACAGTTGCAGCAACTGCAACATCATCATCAGCATTCTCAACATCATCATCATCATCATCATCATCAGGAGCAGCAACAGCAGCAACAACAACAACAGCAACTTCACCAACAGCAACTTCAACAACAGCAACAACACCAACACCACTATAATCCCTACACCAACGATACCAACAATTACAGCAAAATGCATTTAACAACCACCTCGAGCAATTCGACGGCATCTAATGCCAACAACAACAACAATAATAACAACAACAACAATAACACAACCAACAACAACAATAATAATAACAACAACTCTAGCAGCAACAACAACAGCAGCAACAACACCAATGGAACCAACAACAACTCCAGTAGCAGTAACAATAACAACAACAACAACAACAGCACCGAACAAAATACACCACCCACACCCGCCCAATTGCTAAACGAGGCCTATACGAAAATGACATCAGACATCCTGGCGGAAAGGACACTGGGTGACTTCCTTACCGAACATCCCGGCGAACTGATCCGCACCAGCAGTCCGCTCTTCGTTTGCACCGTCCTCCCGCCACATTGGCGCTCCAATAAGACGCTACCGGTGGCCTTCAAGGTGGTCTCCCTGGGCGATATAATGGACGGAACGATGGTCACCGTGCGGGCGGGCAATGATGAGAATTATTGTGCGGAGTTGCGCAACTGTACGGCGGTGATGAAGAACCAGGTGGCCAAGTTCAATGACCTGCGATTTGTTGGAAGGAGCGGAAGAGGTAAGCCTAAACGAGATATATTATTATATATTTTATAATGTTTTGGGAAGACGCCTGCTACTCCTTATTGTCCAGGCCTAACCCAAATTCATCCTTGTGCTGCTTGGCCCACCAAGAAGGCAAAAGTTTTTCGTCAAGTGGCGGCTCTTATTGGCCCTTGTTGGCACTTGACCCCCAGGCGTCCTCCCTTGGATTGCACTCGAAACAATTTGTTCAATTATCGCCCAAGCAAAAGTTTTGCCGGCTTTTGGCCCCCACTCATGCTCCTGCTTCCCGTTTCCCTTTTATTTTTGTATCATTCAGTGGGCACTTTTTGCACTGCTGTCATCTTTATTTTTTTTTATCATTCGTTTTTCTGTTCCACTCATCGTCCTTTGTCAGCTGTTGGTTTTTGTGTGTGCTCGACAGGCTTTTGTATCCTTTTAACCGCTTGTTAAGCGCTGCACAAATTGTCAGCAGTTCATCAGCGTCACAGAGGCAGAGGCATCGTCATCGTTTTCATTCACCAAATAGAAGCGGATTCCTCAGTTTTTGTTGCCGTTTTTCTATTTTGTTTTTTATGTTGTGAGGTTTGTTGTTGTCAGCATTTGTCTGAGCCTTTGTCTTAAAGTGTTTAATAAACTGTCAGTTGTTGCGGAAGTTAAATGGTGGTTTAAGGGAGAGGGATAGAGTTGTGAGTCCTTTTAATGGAAGTTATTTTGGGGAAAATTTCTAAGAGCTATATATAGGCAAAACCTACGAAATAATACAGCATATTTAAACCAGAACAAACCTAAAGAAATATCTTATAAATAAATATTTAAAATTTAAAGTTTAATCTTAGATTTATTAATAAGAAGTTTAGCTTTTCTTTGGCTTGATTTTTCATTCGAAATATTTCCTTTCAAAAGAAACACCGAGTCCAATCACACAACCCATAATTCAATCATCACAGACTAAAGGCTGGGTGCTGGGAGTACGAGCCAAGGACTAAGCCCAATTCCGCTGGTCATTTCGTCCTGGTGAAGGAGGCATTTTTGGGGTTTCGATTGAGGCTGGGCGGCAGGGGCTACGCATCCGCTGCGGTGGAACCGCAAAAACCAAAGCCTCGACCAGCCAAGGGAGCTTGGGGTAAGGGGGAGGTGGACATAAGCGGTTTTCCGACAGCGAAAAACGGAAGGATGGAGGCGTGTCTGTGTCTCGCCGAGGATTCATTCATTGTCATCATTCGGCCAATGCCAAATGGATGCGTGTCCGCGTTCACGTCACTCGTTTTACATTTCCCTTCCATCCTTCTCGCTCTCTGAGGACATCTTTCGCTTTTCACTTTAACATTTTCCGCGGCACATGGCCCAGGCTGTGGGTCAACTTAATTGGGAATTTCCCATTCGTTTAGGCGAGTCAGAAGAGGGATCACTCGATGATTTTCCTATAGGTTTTCTTAAAGAAATAAATTATGTATATTTAATTCAAAAGTTTCCTCAGATTTTCCTTAACTTCCCAGCCAATCGAAGCCACCTTTTGCCACCATTTTCCCCCTGCCTGTCACTGTCAAATTATGATAACTGTAATTTGCACAATAGCCTACCTGCCTGTTGCTTTGGCCTGCGGAAAATCACCACCCTGCGGAAAATCCCCCAATCTGCCTTCCACAATTACCAACATTTTCGCAGGCCTGCTAGGAAAAACAAAAACCCTCAGGGAAAAAAATTGAAAAGAACAGAAGGCAAGCCAAAAGCAAATTGTGCACAATTTGGCATGACTTTTCCCCTTACCGAATTTCCCATTGCTTTCCACAGACAGGCGTGTCCTTTTCACAGGACAAGGTGTCAGTTGCTGGCAGAAAGATCCCTTTTTTTTGTTTTCTTTGCCTTTTTAACGCCTCGCCTTGCCTCGACTTTTGCCAGGCATTTATCTTTGGAGCTGGGCGGGGCCGGGCTCGGGGTTGTCCCCAAGATTTTTCGGTGAATGTTTATCTTTTGGGGGGGAAGAGCAGAGGGTGTTGAATGGCCAGGATATGGGGTGGCATTTGTCGTTCGTTCTTCTTGGCTAAGTTCATTTTGCGGCTGTTTTTGGGCCGTATTAAATGGCTTGAGAATTGTGTAAATAAAAACCTCAAGGGGGATGATGGATGGCCTCGATTAGGGGTAACCTCTTTTCTTTCTTTTCTTTTCTTTTCTTTACATAAGGATTTTCTCAAGGATTTATTGAGGCAACCACAGAGAGAGAAAAGCTAAAGGAATATTACTAGAATTGCTAATTAAAACAAACTTTATTATTGATTTAATAAATTGAATTTTGTTTAAATTGTTTGCCAAGTCTTGTTGCCTTCTCTCCGTTGTTTAGTTGTTTAGTTGCGGCATCGTAACAGGCGGAAACTGGCACCGACTTTAACCCCCTTAAGCCCCAGCGTTAACCCCCCATCCCCATCCCCATCTCCTCCATCGTCATCGTCACCCGCCCGGATGGATGGTGTGTGTGCGTGCATGTGCATGGCACTTTGCTAATTAAAAGTGTAGCCTAGCGCTGGGCCAAATAAATCGATGCCCGGGTAATTAAATTGCATGACACGGGGGCGTGGCATGGGGGCTGATATGTACTATGCCGGCCTGTGCATTTGTTATTGTAATTAGACAGGCAGCAACAGCAACAGCAACAGCGGCGAAACAAAATGGCGTCGTCGGTGGCAAATGCCACGTAAATCACTCATACGCCCCATGGGCGCAGTGCAGATTTAATGCAACTTAGATGAGGGTATGGAATGGCAGTGGCCAGTAATGACCCAAGCGGCAGTAATTCTATTAAATTTACCCAAAAGAGCCGCTTCCTATTTGGGTCTTTAAAGCTGTGGAAATTTTAGAAAATTTATATATATTTTTAAACTATTCATAAAAACGGTTAGGACAAAAAAGAGACCTAAAATTATAATTATTATTAAATAATACATAAAACTAAATATAATTTCAAGCCTAGATTTATTCGAATTAATTTCAATTCAAGCCTAAGGCTTCTTATAAAAGTCCTTTGACTAAAACTCACCAAATATTTGTACACAACAGACATTTATTGTCCAACTCGAAGACAAACCCTTTCTCCAATCGAACCAAAAAATCACTTAAATCCCTTCTCAACTACCCACAGGCCACACGTGCAATCAATCATTTGAGGGGTGGCATAGATTTCCACCCTCAGGTAAACACAGGCAGAATATCAACCAGCCAAAACAAACAAAAACAAAAACAAAAAAAAAAAAAAAAAAATAAAGATGAAAACCAAAGAAGCCGCAAAATGTTTTTATTTCGGTGTTGGGCCGACTTACTGGCTGGCTTTTCCAGGCTTTTCCAGGGCTTAGTCTTTTTTGGCTTACAAGTGAAGTGAAGCCAAACAGCAAAAGAGCAAACAAAAGATGCTTGTAAGTCTAAGAAATAATTTTTGTTAATTTATTTTTTGTATAAATATATAAAATATATATATTTAAATATGGTTTTCAACATGTTCAAGTGTAGAAATAAAATACTTTCTAGCTTTTAAAACTCCTGAAAATAATTTTAGCTTAAACAAGAAAGGAAGCTAACTTCGGCACGCCGAAGTTTGTATACCCTTGCAGATATTATTTCATTACATTTCAACTATACTTATAATGTTTACAGTTTGACAGTTACAGTTTTACATTCACACCTTTACATTTTCTCTACATCTACCGATCGCTCCTATGGCCGCTATATGATATAGTTGTCCGATTTTCATGAAATTTATACCAAAATTCTACAATAATAAAATAAGCTTATATCTCAGAGTAGATGAAAATACGTTGAAAAACAACGAAGTTATAATATGTTTCCTATTAATTTCCCGATCGTTTCTATGGCAGCTATAAGATATAGTCGTCCGATTTTCATAAAATTTTTACCAAAATTCAGAAATAATATAGAATGGCCATATCTAAAAAATGGTGCAAAAATGTAAAAAAACAGCAAAGTTATAATTTTTTTTTCGAAAAATTTATCGAACATTTGTATGGCAGCTATATGATATAGTCGTCCGATCCGGCCCGTTCCGACATATATAGCAGTGAGAGTATATAGAAGACTATATGCAAAGTTTCATTCAGATAGCTTTAAAACTGAGGGACTAGTTTGCGTAGAAACAGACAGACGGACAGACGGACAGACGGACAGATGGACAGACGGACAGACGGACATGGCTATATCGACTCGGCTGTTGATGCTGATCAAGAATATATATACTTTATAGGGTCGGAAACGTCTCCTTCACTGCGTTGCAAACTTCTGACTGAAATTATAATACCCTGCAAGGGTATAAAAATATATATTTCCAATCAAAAATTTTAGTAAAAAAATGAATAAAAAAAAAAAACACAAAACAAAATGAACAATTTACAAATTGCTTAATTTTATTAATTTTTTTTTAGCTCCTTTTTATTTCTAAATATTTTTAAAGTTTATTTTTAAAAATAAACCAACACCGAAAAATAAGAAATTCCCTTTGAAAAATTTTGAGAAATTCCAAAAAATGTAGTTGAATTTAGAACTTTACACAGGACCCAAAAGCAAAGTGTATATGATATTTGCCAGTGGCAACATGAGTATCAAAAATTTTAATTGCACTTAATCCGCAAATTGTAATTCGTAAGCCACGCCAACACGATTATGTGACAAGTGGGATGGGGTCTCCTGGCTCTTGTTTTCTTGGTGATTTGCGAGGCAGCCGCAAGTATTGACAGATGTCCTTTTGTTTGTTCCCATGTCCTCTGTGTAGAGCCTCTTCCTGTGCCTATGTGTGTGTGTGTATTTCATTACCCTCAAATTGATTTATGACGCCTGTGCAACGGGGATTTGCTGGCAAGGATTTCAGGTTATTTGTCAACAGGATTTGATTTTAAATGTCGCCACACCCACACATACACACACGGAAATGTCATGCTCCTCAAGTGTTGACGTATCCATTTGTCGCAGTTTCGGTGGGAGATTAAGATGAATGTATTCGTCTTCGACTAGGTAGGGGAAAATCCCTGCGATTAGCAATCAATTGGGTCACAGAATGAATTTAGAGTGTTATTTAAAGGGAGCACTTTCCTGTGTTGTCCTTAAATTTTTGAAAGAATATTTCTATAAATTAAGTAATTATAAATAATTATAATTTAAGCTATATAATATTTTTTAGAATTTTAAAACGGACAAATTACATTACTTAAAAAGCGGATCCTTACTTTTAAACCTTATTTAATTTTAGTGTTTCTATCAAAACTTTAAGATCCTACCTTTCCCTTAAATCCAACGTATTTTTCCTTGAGGAAAACCCCTTACCAAGTCCATTTAATGATCAATTATATATAGCCTTAACTCAGTCTAACTTCCCCCCTCAAAAAGTGGCAAAGAATTGCGCAACAATGAACTGCACTTGATGGCAATAAACAGAAAAGTGTTTTCCCATCTTGGGTTGCCACTCGAGACTTCATTTTTTATGCCGCCTTGGGCTTGGGGGGGAAAAATCAAGGCGGAAAATCAGTACGTATTGTGTGAACCAAGTGGAGTGTGTGCCAGGAACATGTGTAAGCTCGGGCTATGTCTGAGCATATATATATTTCTATATATGTATATTTGTATGTGCCGAAATGATTTACGCTTTGTTTGTCAACTTAAAAAGCAAAACCTCTGACTCCTGCTCCTCCTCCAAAACCACACATACGCCCCATTGCCCCGCCACCTTCACATCACACATACGCCGCGTTGTCATAGACGAAACACAGACAGACACACAGGAAGGCGACGCGGCTTAAGAAGCCCGAAATGCTTTTAATTGAATCTCAACAAAAAATGGCTAGAAAAGGCAACTTGCGCCCTGGCAACACTTGACAATGACAATGGCCCAAAAAGGTGGGGTGGACTGAAACAAGTTAATTAAAAGAAAACTGCGGCGCAAACGAAATAAATCTTCGAGTGAAAGAAAGTCTCTGGCGAGGCATATGTGAATGGCTGCTTTGGGAGAAGACACACAGCAGACTAAATCAGTTTAAATTGTAATTAATTCTGTATTTCCAGAGGGCTAAAGAAGCCAAAATGCAAATGAGGTATTGTCCTCAGTCACAAGGGAAGGAGAAATACAATAGAATTAAGTTGAAATAATTACAAATATTGTCGATCGATTAGAACGTGTGTATTGTGTTACCATTTCCCATTTAATGGCCAACACTTTTACGACGTGACAATACCCCAAAATCCACACCAAAAACATCTTTATTATCGGCTGGCATGACTGGCCGCCATTAGTTAAATGTTTCCCTGGTATTTGTCATAAATTTGTTTATCGTTTTTCTTGTTTTTTTTTTCAGGGAAAAGCTTCACGCTAACCATCACCGTGTCAACGAATCCACCGCACATAGCCACCTACAACAAGGCCATCAAAGTGACTGTCGATGGGCCACGCGAACCCCGCTCCAAGACAAGTAAGTAGAGCAGGAAAAGCTGGAAAAGTGTTTCTCGTTTCTGGTTATCTATTTTTACCCCTTGCCTTTTTTGGGGGGCATTTCATTTGCAGGACAATGCATAACAATTTATTAGTTGCCAAATAGATAAATTGCTCTAGCAGGAGCCACAGCAGGCAGGCAGCTCCCATTCTCAGCAAAACTCACAGGTTCGGCAAAGGTTCAAGTCCTGGCACTTGCCTAGAGATTGCTTTATTGCTGGAGTCAGAGATGAGCCTGAAGAGATTGTAAAACTAAAATTTCTGGTATTTTATAGAATTAATATTTCTAAACTTTTAAATTGAAATCGTTCAAATTGTCTTTAAAATTCTTAAAAATATATATCTTAAGGTTCACAGAGTAATATTTAGTTTATATATTTAAAAAATATATCGTTTATATATCGACTCTGGCAGACCATCTCTGGCCTCAAATATTCTTGAAATATTACCAAATCCCCAACTCTCTGTTCAAGCTTAATTCCTTCCTCGAGATTTTGCTGATGTAGCAAGGACATTTGCCTGCTAATACTGCACTTCATTTCACTTTGGAATCCCGAATTTCTTCAAGGAATATTCATTAGACAGCTCTATCACACACACATACACACTTTAGCCTCCTTCCTTTACATATTTATAAGGATGCAAATATTTTACTTTGCATATGTTCAGGCGCCGTAAGGGTCTGTAGTCCGAAAGTTTAGCTGGTCTGTGTAATTTGGACCGAGAATAGAGAAACGAGTAACGAGAGGGAGAGGACTCACAGGACTCACAACAAATGCAAATCCATGAAATGATTTATATGTCCAGAATGCCAGACAGAGCAGCCCCACACACATACACACATGCGTTGGTTGGGGCTTTAAGCTGCAGACAAAAGGTTATTATTTTATAATGAATACAATCTGGCAGATATCTAGAGTTTGGGGACGGCTACAATTTAGCCGAAAGTGTCGCCAGTTGGATAAAGTTTTTTGGGCCATTGTCATTTCACTTTCACATACACACACACACACACAAAGTCCATTGTCAATAGTTTTTCGACTCTGGGAAATGCAGGGAAAACAGGTGACCAGAAATGGGAAACGAGAGACCTTCCTTACATCTTAAGTGAATCGAAAGCAACCGAATTTCATTCATCAACTGCTTGTCATTTAAGTTTTTCCCACACACAGACACAAAGAAACTACCCAGCAGACAAAAACGAGAGTTTTGCGGATTTCAACGGACAAAACGTTCGATTTCGGCTCATAAACGATAATAAAGTTAATCACCTGTTATGGGTTTTGTGGCAGAAACTGCTATAATTTTCGGAATCCGAATACAATTTCGATTGCGCACCTTTTACGACACTATTATCGGGTATAATTCTGAGAATTTGAGAAACTTGTCTGCTATTCGTCCGATTGCGCGTCCAGTTTTGAGCATTTAGCGAAACTAATGCGAAAAGTCCGAATCTTTGTCCGTATTTAATATTTTTTAGGGGACATTTTTTCGAATCCATCCGCACTAAGTCCGCTCTTTGTCTGCTGGGTAACGCAGTCATTTAAGGATTCACACAGACACATACACAGTTCAGTGGTTGTTGGCAGTTTTTTATTAAAAATAAAAAGGTTTAAATATTTAATAATATTTTTTAAAGATTTTAACAAACAAATTTTGACTTTGCAAAGGTATTTATTTAAAGTAAAATAAAGAAAATAAATAAATAAAATTCTCTTTGAAGATTTAACTCTTAATTTACCTAAAAAACTTTCTTAATAAATATAAAAAAATATTAATAGATATTAAAAAATAATAAATATCTTTATAAATAACCCACCCAAACATTATCACTTTATGTATATTTAAAAACCTAAAAATCATCCCAAAACTAAGCTCTTTTACACCTTCAAACACACAAAAAAAACCCATAAAAAAACACCTTTAAAAAGTAAAAAATTGAATTGCCAGCAACCATTGGGCCCAACGCAAGAAACCATCTAGTTAAGGACAGAAAATTAAAACTGAAAAAAACTTAGTGTTATCCCTTTTAGGACAGCAGCAGCAGTTTCACTTTGCATTTGGCCAGAGACCCTTCCACTTCTCCACGGATCCGCTATCCGGCTTCCGGATGCCGCCCATTGGCAACTGTCAGAGTGAGTATATATATTCTATATATCTATTTTTCCTTTTAAATTTCATTTCCTTAAAGTTTAAATTTATTTGGTTTCAAAATGCTTAAACCGCAGGGCAACCAAAAGTAAAAGTTTAAAGGGTGGGGGCATGTGTGGCATCCACAAATGCAACCACAGAAAATCACACAAAAAAGCGATTAGATTGCCAAGCTTTTGAAAGACATACAGATATTTAAGACGTAGTGAAGAAATATTTAAAACCATTTATTTATTTTATTTTTGAAATACTTTAAGAGGTGAAAGGGAATCAAAGATCTTCAGGGTAGAGTCTATAGAAACACATAATCAAGAATTATTTTACCCTTAAATATATCAAGACTGTAAATTAAAATCATTTAAATATATAATATACATTAAAAACCTAGTTAAAAGTGTACTTAAAAGTTTAAAATTATTTCTTAAAATCATTTAAACTTTAAAAACGCCAAGAACCTCTTTCAACTCTTGAACTCTTCTTTAAAATCTTTTCTAAGAAACCAAAAAAAATCTGAAATATTTATTCACACTAATTATGACTTATAAGCCTTAAAAATTTAAAGCATCGCTTAAAAAAATACCTATATTTTTTTCTTTTTTCTGCAATTGTTGTCGTTGGGCGACCATTTGAATGTGGTAAAATTGCGGGTCACCTTTGGCCATATATATGTGTTGGCGTTGTGTTTTTCTTTTTTTTTTTTTTTGCAGCTAAGTGGGCTCGGTGTTATGGCTGTTAAACTGTTGGCCACTTTATTTAACCAAAGTTTACTACACAAACAAACAAACGTTGGTCAAACACAATCACACGCCGAGTGGGGGTGGGTTAAAAAAGTCGAAGCCTAAAAAAAAAGTGTGCATAAATCAGAGCATTGCAAACAAATTATGATTTAAATGAAAAGCTACAGAGCATTTTTATGCGGCAGTCAGATAAATTTAATGCATTTAACCAAGCGAATAAACGCATAAACAAATTTGACAGCTCGGGCACTAAGCAGGAAAAATGGTAATGATAATGAAAAGAGTCGAGGCGTGAGATACTTACCATTTAAAATTATATAATTAATAGGATAGTTTTTTGTATTAAATTGCAGTTTAAATTAATGGAATTGTTGGTTATTTGAGAGCAAGATGTATTATTTAAGGAAAGTAACTATGCTTTATATGCTTTGACATTAATTATAGGGTTTTTTCTTTGAATTAAAATTATACTTTCTAAATATTTAAATACATTTTAATATATATTATAGGTTATCTTTAAAATATACCTCTACTTACAAAGGTATCTACCTCTCTATATCCTATTAAAACAACACCCCCAAGTCCTGGCACATCCTTAACCACCTCCAACGCTTGAATATTTATAACAAAATCAATAATTAATATTGTGGGAGACCATTTTCTTTTTTTTGGTTTGATTGTTTTTATGCTTATGCGTAGGTGAAATAAATTTAATTGTACATTTTAAAATGCATTTATATTAAATTTGATGTTTCAATTTAAATTGACAATTAATTGCATTACAACAAGAGCAACAAAAGCTACAAAAGCCGGACTAGACACTGGCCAACTAGCTGCCGCAGGCAAAAAAAAACAAATTATATAAAAAAATATATTGTGATTTTCTCTTTAGAGCTTGATGCTATTAAAAAAGCAGAAAATAATAAAATTAACATATTAACGATTATTTAAGTAGGAAATATTAAAGCAGAAAAGCTCAAAGCTTTAAATGAGGTTTAAAAAAAGCCTTTGTGGCACTAAAATTAAGTTTAGTTGGGCTCAAGTTAAGGTATTAAAAAAGATTAAAGTAAACCTTATTTACAACTAATATTTAAGTTAATTTTTAATTTAATTTTCTACTCTTCTTCAATTATTTTTGCGGCCTTTCGCAATGCTACTTGTAACCACTTATCCTTCATTACCGCTGCCGACCAAAACGATTCCGGTGAACTTAACAAAATATATATATATATATATATTCGCTATAAATAAATATATATATATATATAAAATGCAACTCAATCAATGCACAAATTGCCTGCCAATTTTCCCTGCTTTAACCCCCTACTGCCGGTATTGGTTTCTGTCAATATTTTATCGTCTAGCCCAGTGCACAAATCAAAATGCAAATTGCGCGATTTACAGGATTCTGCCGGGCCCATAAAAGACATTACATAATGCACAAATATATATATATAGTACATGTACATATATTACATATATAAATATATATTTACGCGAAAACACACAAGTAAATAACGATTACTGAAAGCGTCTGTTGATACTGATTACCCATAAATTAATTGTAAATATGCAAAAAGCAAAATATTCTGAATTATTTATTAACAAATTTTATTGACAGTCGCTGCTTGACTTAATTACTGGCATATATTTTATTAATTTCGCAAAAAAAAAAAAAACAGAAAACAGAAAACATGCACACAAACCAAACCGAAACGAAACGAAATATACATGAAACCTGACCGGAAAATGAAGAGCAAGGGCTTTACATTTTTAAGGGAGTTAAAGGACTTTTATGGTTGATCGAAATATTGGCTTAAATGTTTATTTTTCAAGTAAATTTCGGTTGAACAGAAAATGTTGAAGTGTTTACAGATATGTGAAGATTTTTATATTTTTAAAATTAAGCATTATACTTAGATGAAGCTAGAAAAAGTTAAAATGCTTATAAAAATAATAAATAGAAATATAAAACTAAATAATAAATATCAACAAATACGAATAAATAATAATAAATAATAATAAAAAAATTCGAATAAAATATTTCATTATTTTCCCTAGCTCTTAATTTAAATTAAATTTCATTATTTGTTTTTAATATCATATAAATATAATATAATTTAATTTATTTATAAAAAGCTAACAATTATTTAAAACTAAGGGCTAGCGAGTTAGGTTTAATATTATATCAGGGGTTAGAATGATTACTTTAAATTTAATTTAATTTAGTTTTAAGACCAGCACTTAATTTATTTTTAAAATCTTTTTATTTATATAGGGATATATTTTTTACACGTAAAAAAAATTATTTATTGAATACAATAAATAACCAGCATTAAATATTTAAAATATATTATTCAAATAATTATTTATAAATTTTTTTCTTAATTAAAATAAAAATACAAAATGTTAAAAATATAAACAACATCTTATTTATTTATATTTTATTTATTTGTAATTTATTTTGTTATTTATTTTATTTATTTATTAAGGTATTCCTATAGCGACAAGTTTAAAATTTAAATTTATATATTTTATATTATTATAAATGAATATATTAATTAACAAATATATTATTTAGAACACAAGATCCCCAAATATATTTAAAAATATATTTTTTTTTATTTCACGGAGCTTAAACCACTCAAAAGCATGCTTTTTTTTACCTAAAAATCCCTCTAAAAGGATTTTTTCCCAATCTCCCTCCCCCCTTTTTTTTTTTTGTGTTAGCCCCAAATTGTGTCCTCTGTTCGGGTTTCTTGTTAATAATTCAGGGCCCCAAAAAATATGCGCAAATAAAGTCAATCAGTGTGACAACAAACAAGCGGGCTAACCGCTCTCTCGCACACCAACCAACGCCAGATAATGACGGACACCGCCATAGTCCAGTCCAGCCCAGTCCAAACCCAACCCAATCCAGACCAGACCAACCCACAGCCCACATCCCACATCCCACATCCCACAGAGAAAATTGTACACAAAAAGCCACGTAATTAATGGAGGTAGAAACATTTAAGCCAATAGCATTAATAAAGCCACCACAAAATCAATATCCGGCTACGAAAATGCGCCCGTCGCCTATAAAAACTAATTAATAATTTCCGAATGGGCTATTAATTAAGCCTAATTATCTGTGCATGGGTCCCGGCGACCCGCAAAATGTTGACTCTTGGCCGCTGCCGTTGCCATCGTCCCTCGGAAAATCCCCATTTTTGATCCTGGTTGAGAGAGAGCGCAACGCACAGCGCTACTGTTTTGTTTTGGAACCGGAAAATTGAAAAATTTGCAAACGATTTTTGGCAGGACTTTGGCCCGTTCATTCCAATGATTTGTTTGTGATTTTTGGCATTTTGTTTTGTATTTTTATGGAAAATGGTGGAAGAGGTCCCGCATAATGAGGAGATACAGCCGGAAAATGGGAGATAACCTCCAATTAGCAGCCCGTATAGGCCATAATTTTTGGGTCTCAATTCTTTAGAGGATTATCTTGTATATTTTAGACTTTATTTTCATTATTTTAAGTTATTTCTAAACCTTTTCCATTTTGTATTTATTTTTTAAATATTTTACAATTCATTTTATAAATTGTTCTCTTTTATTTTTATTTCAGGCGCCAGCAATACGCACTGGGGCTATGGATCGGCTGCCTCGGCTTATTCACCATATTTGGCCAGCAGTGGGCTCTCGTCCTGCACAACGCCCACATCCGCCCAGTTCAACAATCCGGCCTTGGGCTTTACCTGCTCTTCAAATGATCAGAGCAATAATCAGGACTTTGGAGGAGCCACCAATAGGGATTGTGTGCCAAGTAAGTTTAGGAAATTAAACAAAAACTTAAATACTAGATATATAAATTTAAATATATATTTTTTCTTAAAATTTTCTCAAAAATTGAACTAATTCTTAACCCTTCTTCACACCTTCTCTACCTTGATTAACCTTATTTTCACCTCGCTTTCTCCCCCTTAGTGCTTCCCGATTCGACGGCCAGCGATCTGGATCAACACCTGAGCAGCCTAGTTGGCTCCACCAGCGGCCAGATGACCCACCACAGCCTGTTGGGCGCCACCGGACAGACCTCAATATCCTCGACGGTCAACGGGGCGAGCAGTGCGGGCGCTGGCGGTGCTGCTGCCGGCGGCGGCGGAGCCGGTAATGGCACCAGCGGTGGCGGTGGCAGTGGTGGTGCCGGAAACTCCATTCTGGTGCCGCGATATCACACCAATGCTAGCAACGAATATAATGTGCACTCCAGCCAGAACGGACCGCGCAGCCTGAGCGACAGCTCTCAGGCCGAGTCGCCGGTGCAGGAGGATCTGCTGTCCACCAATACACCCAATCTGGGCAGCACGGCGGCGGCCAATGGTGGGGCGGCGAATGCCGGCGGCGGTGGCTCGGCCACAGCTGCTGCTGCAGCGGCAGTCACTGGCTCCTCGGTGGGTGTCGGTGTTGGTAATCCCGCCATGCTGGGCTCCAATCAGAATTTCCCCCGGTATTGTCAATCAGGCCCAGCATGCCTCAGCCTCTGCCTATGGTGGTGGCGCCGGGGTGGGCGTTGGCGTTGGCGTGGGCGGCGGACATGGAAGTGCAGCGGCCGCCGCCGCCGGATGCAATGGCTCACTATATCCGGTGCTGCCAGCCAGTCTGCTTTATTCACAGCTATACACGGCGGCCAATCAGTCGGCACATGGCTTCCACTCGCACACGCTGCCCGGCCATGCCTCCCATTCGCCCAACTCCTCGGTGCACGGCGAGCTGCAGAGCGTGATGGATCACATCAGCAACGTGGGCGTTCGCCAGCAGCACAACATCATGGCCGGCGGCGGGGTTACCCATCCCGGTGACCTCACGCTGATCGGGAATTGCGGCGCCTCCGTACGGAATATCGAGGATGGGAATAGCAACCGGCAGGTGGCCGCTTTGGCCGCCCATCGGGGACACCACAATCCCACCGACAACGGGGGCAGCGTCTGGCGGCCCTATTGAGGTCAGGTGCTGTGGTGCGGCTCGGCGGTTCTATAGTGCGAGGGGGTCGGGCCGCAGCACGAGGGGCAAGGGGGCGTGGCAGGGACAGGGATGGGAATGGGAATGGGAATGGGGACGGGGGTGGGGCTGAACGGGGGCATAAATAGCTGCTTCGGTGGCTTCTGATCGGTGTAAATAATAATATTAAAATAGAGCGAGAAAAGGGGTGCCCGAGGTGCTCATTTTTGGAGGTAACTGTATATTTTACAAGTAATTATAAGCTTGTGTTTTCTTAAATTTATACATACTTTTTGATTTTCTTTTTTAAAAACAATAATTTGGATGCCCAAAAGTATGCAATAGAAATAGCTGAACATTTTAAGAATTTGTTTTCTGGAAAATGTTGGTTTTTGCAATATAAAATTTAAAAAGTTTATGGAAACTATTTAAAAATGATTTTAAAATGTTGATTTCGTTATTTAAAACAATTATTTTGCTGTCTAAAAGTATGCAACACCACGGAAATCTCAGAGATTCTTAAAATCATTAAAAAGTGTATTTTAAAAATTGTGAAAATATTGAAAATATGCTTTAAATTTATACAAATTTTATTTTTGTTGTAGGAATTTCTTTTATCCTTCCAATTTCTAGCAAAAATAGTCTAAAAAAAATCAGAGTTCTCCTTAAAATGAGCCCCAAGACTCCTTGGTACTTTGTATATAAATATGGGTGTAATAAAATCCTCTATATAGGATAGAGCCTAGAAATATATGAAATATATGAAGATATATGTGTAGCTTGTATATAGTGTTAGCAGACATCTAATATTTCTTGAAAAACGCATAAATACCGTTTTGAAACCCTAGAGAATTGTCTGACTTTCTCGGATATAATATTTTTTTTCTGATTTTTTTTTCATAAATATTTAGACATAAAAACAGATAAAAAATAATAAACTTTTAGTAGAATTTGTTGGAGTTCTCAAGACTTCCAGTAGCGTATAGTTAAATAAAGAAAAAGATAACTAGAATTTAAGGCAAACAAAAAAATATTTAGCAAATTTTGAGAGCAGAGAAATGTTCGGGTTCCACTTAAGGACAACTTTCTGTGGATTTTAAAGAAGAAAAAACAAAAGTAATACTAAACAATGAAATTAATACGTTTTTTTTTGCATTTTTTTCCAGGCCCGTGGTAAGCCCGAGCCATAAAACTAGTCATAATAGCAATAAGTCCACATACGATACCAAAATACCAGCACATTTTCAACAAATTATAGTACTTAGCAACTTGAAACTAGTCGTAAACATTGTGAAGCCAAAGCCAAGAGTTGATTTTTTGTGATTTTTCTCCTGTTTTCTGTAAGATACGAGGACGCTAGGGTATGGTTATGGGGTATTTAGGGGGAGTTATAGAGGGGGTACGGGTTCGGGGGTGATTTATTAGAGCCGATGTATGTCTGAGTTCCTATGCCGTAATCCATGTTCGTGAATTTGTTTACTGTTCATTTCATGTGCTTCGATTTGCGTGTACTTTAAATGTGTATAAAACATGTGCAATCTAAGCTAACCAAAAAAAAAACCAATATATAAATATTAATAAGCTTCTAACGAGATATATCTGTACACTAAATGGTTAACCGCACACACCAGCAGCCACAATATATGACACTTGGAAACTTAAATTGTAATTATTTTTTTTTGTTAGCTCGTAAGTGGTAAAAAAATCGAAGAGGATGTCGAACAGCAATTTAAATTCCAGCAGAAAATACACAGAATTACACACTATGCAAATGGTAAATAGGGTTAAGCAATCGGTTAGAAATGTCCAAGATAGCACATTCTTTAAAAACAAAAATAAATATATTATATATAAACACACTAACTAAAGGAATCGATGTGAAAATCGTATTTGATGTATACCACATCGCAAAGTAAATACCGAAACTATGTGTATAATCTAGCCAAGATCCCCGCATATATGAGAATATATATATATACGAATAAACAAATGAATACGAAAATAAACAAAAGGAAAAGCAAGTTCTTTGTAATAAAAAATAAATAAATGTAATTACAGATTTTATTTGAGAACAAACTAAAGCGAAATGAAAACTTAAAGAAGATCCAAATGAAACTTCAATTCAACGATTATATTAAATAAAAATTATGAAAAATTAATAACATAATATAAACCAAGGACTTTTGTTAATGGGGGGGTGGAAGTTGTGGGCTTATTAAGACTGGAAATAAATTTAGATTTTTGTTAAAAAAACTAAACAAACAAATATTACGTATACGCCTCGTGAAAAATTATTAGAAAATGTTAAGTAGCAGCTTAAAAAAAAATTCTTGGTAATGTATTTTATATTTTGTATTTATTATTACACAGAGAAAAAAGCTTGGGGTTATAGAAAATATTTAAAAAAAATAAATTTTTATAAATTATTTTTCTCCGATTTTTTTGTAATTTTTACGACTCCTTTGGGTACCATTGGCCAGGGCCAAACTTATGGCTTTTCCAGTATATTACCTTTCTCTTTCTTTATATACATATATATATATCCCTTTTAACCATCTCTTTCTAATGCCATCTCAGTGTGGTTTTCGAATTTGGCGGGCCAACGTAATTTTCTGCTCAATTTATTTCACATTGTGGCATCCAATTAAGCTGCAAACCAGTAGCCGAGCAATCCAACCAGAACTGGCAAAAGCCGAGGAGCCCAACTGAAACTCACCTGGCATTACACTGAACGAAATGAAATCTAAAGAAGAGATTTTAGGAAAATGAACCCTAAGACTAATCGGTTTCAGAAAGCATATAACTAAAGTCCACTTAATAAAACATTTTAAAAATAATTTAAACATTTATTTAATTTAAAATATTTTAGGTATTTATTTTAAATATTTATTTAATATTTATTTATTTAAGTAAATACAAGACTTTCAATTTCTTTCTCTGTCCACATGTATGGTCATAAAAATACGGTCAACTACAAGATGGAGGGTTGGTAGGGCCGCTAGACGGTGTTAGCTTGGGTAGGTGGAAAAGCGGAAAAGTGGAAAATCCAAAGCTTCGGTACGCGAAGCGTAACAAATGAGTGGAAACACAGGCGGCAAGGAAGCGGAATAACCGCAAAAAGGTAGCCATCAGTAGACAGGAGGGGTGGCTAAAGGACCCAGGATTAAGCAGCAGATAAATAAGAGATCGATATCCCAGGGATACAGAAGGGAGAGAGAGCGAGAAAAAATAAAGGAAGGACGAGACTTTTTAATTATTTCCATGCCGAAGATGTTTCGCATAACAAATTAGCTACCCGGCAAAGTATGCCGACGAGTGTGTGTGTGTGTGAGTGTAAGTAATTAAAAATTCTACCCATTACTTGCGATGCTTGGTAAAATTTCAAACAAACGCCAAGAGACGTGAGTAAATACACAGAGAAATATAAGAGGAATTCAAGGAAATATAAAAGGGTAGGGCTAAGGGAAAATGTAGGAATTTGTAAGCTACAAACAAGGATTTTGTTTAAATTTGTATAAATATTTTTTAAAATTATTTTATGTATTTTATTTTAGGAGAATCAGCCAGCCAGTTTCTTTCAGTGCAGCTAAGCGCTAGAGGAAACCACTTGAGACGCTGATTTAGCCTCTCAACGGGCATTCTTTCACCCTCAGACCTCCTGTCACTCCTCCTACCTGCCACTGGAGCGTGCCTCGCCTCGCATATTAACACGTTTCATATGAGGCAAATCCCCTGGCGACCATCAGCAGCAGCAATGGGTTAAGGAGTAGCCCCCACTCGAAATGAGCCAAGATGATGCGTTGAGTGGAGTGATGATGCGAGGCTTGGAGTGGAAGTAAAGTGTTGAGTGGAGTGGCATGGAGTCCTGTTGCATGTTTCCTTGTCTCTTACAAAACAAAACAACAAAAAAATTAATTTTTCTTATTAGCGCCGTCTTTTCGCGGAGGCCTTAATTAAGGTGATAAACAAGCAAACCGAATTATACTCCTCACAATGGCAAGGAAGACGAGTTTTGACTGTGATGGAGTCCTCATAAAAGTTAAAAAGTGTCGAGGGATAATGCCAAGAGGGTTGGATGAGCAGTTTACTTAGGGTTTATGCTTGAAAAACTAGGGAGATTCATTTATTAAGGAGGGTTTTTTAATAATTACAAAACTATTTTAAATGGAGAAGTTTTACAAATTAATTAAACAATTTAAAAACCAAATTAGTTCAATTAGAGTTTTAAAACCCTTTAAAACTGTGCTTAAAGGAATGCAAAAAAAATTGTTTAAATTTTGTTTATGCCATGTATAGTGTTAGAGTATAGTTTATTTATTTATGTTGTTTATTTATTATTATTTTTTAAAGTAATTATTATTAATTATACAATTTAAAAACTAAACTAGTTCAATTAGAGTTTTAAACCCCTTTTAAAAAGGTGCCTGAAGTATGCAATAAAATGTACAATATTATAGGATTATTTATTTTTTATTTATTATTATTTTTTATTGTTTGTAAAGATTTATTTAATCTTAACAATATCCCAAAAATTTCAGTTTTTCGTTTGAAACCACCCTCTGGCTGGGCATGTCCTTTATGGGCTCACTCATAATGGAAATAATCTTTTGAGCTCGCTTCATTTGCTTCGCATGTAAAAGCCAAAACTTTCGCCAAACAAGCCCTGTTTTCCTCCGCCACTTTTCCTTTTCCACTTTTCCACTTCTCCTTTCCTAATTCTCAATTATGCATGAGTGTGCGTACGCATATGGGTGTATATTTGATTACGATGCCAATTAGAAAGTGGCATAAAGGTGAACCTTTTTCCTTGGCCTTCAACCGGAAGGAAGTTGGCTTAATTAGCCCGGGGTTTTCCCAGGTACAAAACGAGAGAGAGAGAGAATGAAACTTTCCAATTATGAAAATTTTATTATATTTTTTCAGCCAACTTAAAGTTGAGGTGACTGACTCCATGCCATTATCCTGTAACCTGTATCCTGACCATTAAAATAATGCAGTGATTT